GAAAGAAAGAAAGAAAGAAAGAAAGAGTAAAAAGCAATTAACGAAAGAAAAGGTAAAGAACGATTAAAAAAACAACTAGAGAAAGTAAGAAAGTAAACGTAATGGTTAGAAAATGTAAAGAAAGCATAAAACCAAAAAAGGAAAAAACAAGAAAAGAGTAAAAGAAAGAATAAGTAAATTTGAACAAATAAAGAAATACCAGAGAACGATTAATGAAAATATAAGAAGGATTAAAAAGGAAAGTCTATAGAAAAGAAAAACGAGAAAAGAGAGGATATAGAATGATTAAAAAAAGAAAACATGTTAATGTGAATGGGTAAAGTAAGAAAGAAAGAGTAAAAAAGGATGAATGAAGAAAGGAAAGAAATAATCAAAACAGAATGGGAGTAAGAAGAAATAAAAGAAAAAAATCAAAAGTAAAAGCTGAGAAAATGTTTTATTTTATATTAAAAATGTTATAGAATTTCTTTCTTCAAGAATATGATTTTTTTCGCTTTTGTGACGATTCCTGGACGCTGAAATAAATAGATATTTTATTAAAAAGAAGTTTTGTTAAATCAACTTTCTAAAAGATTCGCAGTTTTCATTTAGGACAATGGAATCGCCTCAGGCCAAAAGAAAGAATGTTTTCAATCTAGAGAATGTGTCCCTTAAATATTGCCACACTCTGTAAATTTCTCATATAAAACTTCGCTTTAAAAATAAATGATAACATTTTAACAACGCCAAAATATGCTTAAATGTTATAAGAAATATGAAAACATAAACAAACTCTACAAACAATAATAATACTGATGACACAACTATTTACCATGTCATCGGTAAGTTTTATTGGTTCGAGAGGTCAAACTGGCAGTTCATCTCAAAAATGATCTAAAATCTGTTATTAACTGGGACAAGAAATGGCTTGTTATTCTTAACACCTTCAAAACGAATTTACCCTCTTTTAATTGTCTAAAAGAATTTTTTTTTTTGCCTGTCATAAGCATGGCTGTTTCTAACCTCCAGTAAAATGACTCATTGCGCTTTCTCGTGCTAACGTATAGCGCTGACATAAAGTCAAAAGATTATATTGAATCAATAGCTAGGTATTTTTCTACGAGTTGATTCATTGTATTTTGCGCGAAAATTATTACACGCAAAATCTAACTTTTATAAGTCTACTATTCGTCCATGCTTTGAATATTGTTGCCAGATCTGGTCAGCGCTTCCTGCTATGTATTTAATTATTATTGATAAAATATAAAGAATCTGCAAGGTTATGGGCCCTGACCAGGCATCTCGACATCAGTTATTTCCCACCGCTATAACTTAGCTTTCATGTGCTATTTCTATAAATATTTTCTTGGTAATTGTTCTGATGTGCTTTCTTCATTGGTACTCAGACTTGACGAATTTAAACTTAGTATTAGATTGGAGGCAAGATTTCATCATTTTACAGTTGACATGGCTAGACATAAACGTAAGTTCTATGCGAACATTTTCTTCTCTCGCACTTCTCGCTTGAGAATCTATCTTCCGGTTTCCCACTTCCCAGTCAAGTTTGATACGCCTCATGAGTTATACGAATTGTCAAGAGGACAATGTTTTGATGGCCGACAAGAGCTAGGAAAAGAGCTAAGGAACAACTCAAATAATGATCAAATCAAGCATGTTGATCAAATTTATTAGGGAAACAAGGAGATGAATCCACTGAAACTGAGAGACTGAGCAAGTAAAAATAGAAAATCTGAATACCGTCAACATCAGTAACATTACAATACTTAAGCCACTTAAGGTGTTAAGTATTGAAATCCCTAAATTCAAAAATGTTCGTAGATGAATGTAGATAGAGAGAGAGAGAGAGAGATTTCTATATTTTCAGAAATTGTATTTAATATATTAAAATCCTGAAAAGAAGGAGAGTGACATAAAGGGAAAAACTAGCTAAAGGAGTGAAATAACCAAAGTAAAAAAAAAATGAAAGAATCATCTAGGGACTCAAGGGACAATTCCCTTGCACTTGAAAGAGTTTACCGGATATAAACACTAAGTCCATGCATATGTATCTCAGAATCTTTTCGACAAAGAGAATGACAGCCTAGAACAGAGAATTCATTAGGAGCGATAGAAGAATTTAAATTATTCTTGCAAAGTACGAAGATATTTAGAGAACATTTCAAGAGAAAAGTTTTCTACACGACAGAAATTAGAACGAAAACCACAAATATAGGAGAATGCATGGTTGAGATGGGTAAGTGATATTTCTGTCTACTTGTTTACTTGTATGTTTTTTCATTGTATCTGTCATGAGAGCATTTTGTTTTAAGAGAAAAAAGGCCAAAATAATTTTCACTATCTACCGTCTATTGCAATACAAACTGGCCAGAAGTTAGACTAAAGGCTAATAATGTCTCAGTGTTGTTAATCGCAATTACATAAATAGACACCTATCCATTCGCGATATAACACTATAAATGCCCTGATGTTATTAGACTGTTGATCAGAGCAGCCTCTTTAAACAGCACCAAAGTGTTCGGATTCCTCACTACAAGCAACCAAAAAACTGATAACCTTGTACCTGCATAATGGGAAATCTCAACAACTGATCAGTCAGATCGCTAAAAAGTTAAGAAAAACCATTAAACATATGGGCATAGGTTAGAGCGTTTGCATTCTGACCATGAGACCCGGGTTCGAATCTCATCATGGTCGATTTATTGGGAAGGAAACTTCCAGATGTTATCGGACTGGGTTGGGGTGATGCCTGAAAACCATACCACGGGTTGACCTAAGCCTTGTGAGTGAAAATGGATAGACGGAACCCTTGGGGGGCCGTCGATAGCTATGCTAGCACGAAGTCACAAGTCATTGTGGCTGAGGGCTTGAGAGTGCAGGCCTCGTTCAAATTGTTGCTCACGCTAGATAACACAATATTTCCCAGAAACTGTAATAGTTGCAATATAAACCACAGATGGGCTCTGTGGGTGTTGAATAAACATAAATGCACCTTGTCTAGCCGCCCCAGTAGACGAGTATCCTCGAATACGAATGGCCAGCTATAAACAGGGAACAAGGGATAAACTTCTATTCCTTTGCAATAAACATGGAAGGAGTACTTGTCAGGGGATAAGCGAACCTATCAACTCCAATTTGCATTATCTATGCTTCTATCGATATATTAAAAAAATCATTTCGATAAATGATAAATTCTGATATCACCGAAAAACAATGGAGGCTACTCCAAACTTGATGATTGGTATGTTGTGATTCCTATATTTATACGTCAAAGTAACATTGCAAGCGTGCAACTATCTCACTTAATAATAAGTATTTCTTTAATTCATCTTCTTTCTCTTCTGTCTTCCGTGTACATTCAGGACGTGGGCAATTATGGTTCTCCAAAACGTTACGTTCTTTGTAGCTCTTTGTAATGTTTGTCTTTTCTTAATCCCTGCATTGTCACCCATTTACACAAGCTCGTCAGGTAAGATATGCGCTGCCTTCCTCTGTCTTGCTTACAATGTCTCCTATGAGTGTAAAAGTCCTCTTTCCTCATTATGTGCATTAGAAATTTCAACTGTCTCTTTCTGATGTTAAGTATATGTGTCCATTTTGTTTCCATTTTATTTAAAACATGCTCAGCCCATGTTATCCTCAGCATCCTTCTGTAAAAACATTTCTATTGCTTCAAGTCTCTTCTTCTTCTTCTTCGTTGATATTGGCATATAGAAGGACTGATATTATTTAACCGTTCAGAACTCTTTCCTTCGTTTCTAATTAAATTTTCCAGTTTCTTAAAACTTTGCTTAACTTTTGGAAGGCATCATTCGCTATCCCAATACAACTTCCGTTTCTTTTGTCGAATTTCCCTCCTTCTGTTAAAACATTTCAATATTTGTACTTCTTTAGTTTTAGTATCTCCAATTAGTAATTTACATGTTTGACCTTTTTTTTTTTCTGAAAACCCTCTATTCTTTCTTTTTACAACTGATGATTAGTCCTTTCTTAGCGCTTTCTATTGCTACCTTCTGTAGGAATACTTGTAAATTTCATTTTTTATGTCGTCTATCAACATTGTATCGTCTGCATGTCTTATGTTGATAAGATTGGGGCCCACAAAATTTAAGCCTTGTAGTATTTCTAATTCTTTCAGAATTGCTTCACTGTACAGTTTGAATAAGTCCGGTGAGAAGACGCATCATTGTCTTACTCCCTTTATATTTTTGTTTATTGACTGAATTGATTTTCTATCGATATTCATACTCTTTGCTTCCAGTATAAGTGCTGTATTATTCTACTTATACTTCCGAAATAAATCAAGGAATCAATCTAGGAATTCTGACAGTTCTTTGTGACGTTCTTTTATCAAACGCTTTTGCATAATCTATAAAAACTACTTAACTTTTAAAAGTTAGTATCGCTAATTTGAGTATAAAACCAACAAAAAAAGTACACCAATCCTCTCTCAAACTGTTGCGTAGGCAAAACGAGTCGAAGATAAAAACTACAGCCAAGAAAAATGCGACTCCTAATAAACAAACCCCCAAATTCCACCGTTACGCTCTTTGAAGTAAACGTTATATATGATTCCTCATCGAAACGGACACTTTAATCGCGTAGACAGCAATAAAGACGGAAAAAACGCTCGAATAAATTGCAGCCGTTGATATAGCTACCGGTGATTAGCTAAGTCTACAATAGGCCTTAACAATGATGTGTTGCTGTTGTCATTTTTACTATAACTGGTTTTATTTCCACTTTTTCATCTTTTTTTTCCTCCGTTAACATTTGGGTGAATTGTCGCTCGGTACGAATAATGAAGCTAATGCAAGCGGGTTGTGAGTCTGTGTTTGTGTGCGTGCATGGCATAGTCAGAAAGATTCAAAGACAATGATCACACCAATTTCCGTCCATCAGGTATGGCTCTTACTAGAAAATCCGTGCTTGGTAGCTCTTGGGGGTGACGAATGCGGAGAAGAAGGGAAATAAATAAAATAAAAAATAATGAGGGTGGAATA